CCCAAGACCTAGTTCACAAAGTATTAGCAAAACAAGTTGAAATATTGAAGAAATATTAGGGGATTGAAGGAAGACCTTAAATCCGGTACCTCAGCTCTTGCACTTGCCCTCTTTCCCCGCCTGTGTCCTCCCCATTTCAAAGCCTCGACCCTTTCCACCCACAGAGATGGAGTGCTTTCGCCCTTTTCCCCTTCCCTAATCCTCATGATACCAGAAACCAACCTCTGTGGCTATTCTGACCCGAACTCTCCATATGTCTAGTCTGTGTTCTCTGTAGGGCTCCTGCTTTCTTCACATGCTATAACATTTCATAAAACTTCATTAATCCCTTGACTAATCCTGGGTATCTTACAGAAAACATTGCTAATGTAGTACAGAAAAAGTTAAGAAATGATGAAAGGTTCTTAAAATGACCATTCTGAAATGCTCCTTGATAAAAGGTTTCCATTTCCTCCAGAGTTTCATTGCTGGTACCATATACTTACCATGTAAAGACTTTTTAAATGACTTATTACACTATTTGAAAATGTAAATTTTCTTTCTAATGTGCACTTTATGATTAAAAATAAGAAAACTCATCTGATCCCTAGATATGTTATCTCCTTTACATGTATTTAGGTATCCCTAGAGACCATTTCTGCCTAAATTAATAGAAGGTCTACTGGAAGCAAGTACTGTGGGGGGCCCATCACGTCTCACCTTTGTGGAGGTGACAGAAAAACCAGTGATACAGTGTAGAAATTGTGATAAATTCTGTTACTGTACATGATTGGTTTTTCTTTCCAGAATTCTGCCATGGATATCATATCAGACCACTTGACCCAATGCACTTCTTCCTGCCTTTGGGAATACCAAATGGGGGAGACAGTTGGGTAGGGTTAGCTAGAGTCAGGAGTACATCTGCCCCTGTTTTGGTCACCTGTGCTGGGAGGTCAGGGCCTGAAATACAAGAACTCAGAGGCCCCATTCTTGAGTGATAGGGGTCAGTCCAAGAGAATGAACACTATAGCTCTTGTGATGTTTAGACTTGGAATGCAAAAGCAATAAACACTTTGTCCTTTCTCTAGCACTTGCGATCTGTATCTTGTTACAGAGGAAAATGTAATGATCCCAGCCAAACACTCAGGTCAGCTCTCATAAGAAAAACAACCTGTCACCTTCTAGGTCCACAGAGGGAGTCTGTCCACAAGAAGCAGCACAGTCCTGCTCTTCTCCCGTGTCATGCGCTGTCCTACTGAGGGTGGCTAACCAACTGCAGGTGTCACTGTTACTCTAGTCTCAGACTTGTTCAGAAAGCTCACACCCAACCTAGCCTCCAACTCTCCACTGTCAGTTTTCCTTCAGACAGTGATTCCAAAACTGTTGTCCAGTGGTTGCCAAGCTGCGTGCTCAGAATGACTTAGTGTTGTATTGACTAACCTGTACCTGTTTATCCCTTTAGATCAGAGAGCCATTTCATTCCCTCCCTTGCATATACATCAATAGATTTGCTCAACACATGCATGTGGAACATGTCCTACATGCCAGGTGCATGATATAAAGCACAGATGTAACTCATCCGTGGACCACGAATGGTCCATACAGACCACCAGTTTCCACCCTAAAAGCCCCCTTTCTTGCAAGCCCCTATTGTCCTCAAAGGAAGTTAGGCCCTCGCATGACTGTTGCCAGAGCCTCACCTTGTCCTATGCCAGGCACAAGCAATTGCAACTAGTTTCTAACTTCTGTCTTTCCTTCCAGACATAAACTTTCACCCATGCAAGGCCCTTGTCTGTCCTATTCACCGATGTCCTGCCCTCACCACCCTCCCAGCCAAAACGGAGGCTCTCTATAAAGTCACTAAGCCCTGATTGCCTTGTTCTCTGTAGACCAGGCCTGCTATGAATTGTAAAAGCAGCAACATCAACTATATTGACTTTAAATGCCCACAGGTCTTTGCCTTTCATGCCAGTAAGCTACTGGGCAAGGCAGATTATTTCTGATTTCTCTGTCACTGATTTACTGCCCTTGACTTGTGTAACAGCATCAGCTAATACGAAGAGCACTGCACTGTTGACCTCAAAACGTAAGGGAACAAACAGTACTCCCTTTCCCCTCCACCAATGGCACTGACACCCTGAATGATTTAAGGGATTTAATAAGTCGAATCTCTGCAAATCCATTTCCTCCCTTTGAAATCATGATCGCCTATTTTCTAATATTATGCACTCTAGAGACATAATCTAAGTGAATATCACTTTATAGAGGAAATCAAACAGAAATTAGAATTAAAGAAATCCATTGCTAAGGTACTGGATGCTTCTCACACAGGCATGAAGAGCCACAAGGACGCCCACAGGCGCATGAAGCGCAAGTGACTGCGAGGACAGTGAATGCGAGCACCAGTCTGAGACACTGTAGTGTCACGATGTTGTGCTGGCTCAAAAGAGTAGCCACAATGAAGAAGGGGAAGGTGCAGGCAGCGGGCTCACCATGTGTACATTCCATGGAGCGTTGTGCTGAAATGCACACAGAACGCGGGAGGGCTATCGGGTCAGACAGACTCGCGTCCAGTGCGGAAGACAGACTGACGCACCTTCCCGAGCCTCAGGGGCATCATCAGTAGATCTTAGTGCCTTCAAGAACTGAGTAAGATAAGTCACCAGGGCGTGGCACGTGGGGCAGGTAGGAGCCCGCTCCCGCCTCCAAGCTACAGTAGCTCACTGGGTGCTTACCACATCTGCCCGCTTCACGGAAGCGGTCCTGACGCCTAGCACACCCCGCCATCCAGTCCTAGTGGGAAGGCTAAGTACCGGCTCTACCGGGAAGTGAGTTCTGGCTTTCACCCACCTTCTTCCTACAATAGTAAGAACACAGAGCGGAAGGAACAGGTGGTGTCACAGGGCTTTCACTATACTGTTGAAGCTTTTGCAAGAAAAAACTAAAAGCAGCACCCAGACTTGTGGGAGTTGGCAGTCACTAAGTATCGCTGGTTGATAAACCTCACTGATTGGGAAGTAATGGTGCATCACATCAAGAGAAAAAAGAATGCCTTATTAATATTCATAACAGAAAGAGCTTTTTTTTAAATTAGCAAGAATCTGTAAATCACTGAAGTAAAATCCTGTCCAGATTATCAACATCAGACTGGGCATGGTGGTGTGCGCCTGTAATCCCAGCTCTTGGGAGGCTGCAAGCAGGCAGATCACTATGAGTCCGATCTAGTAGTGAGACCCTGAACACCCTGTAGACCCTTCCCTAAAATACAAGATAGATAGATAGATAGATAGATAGATAGATAGATAGATAGATAAAATAAAACAGATATCAACATTTTCTCATTTATGTTTTTAAAGAAAGTATTCTTTCTTTCTTTTTTCACTTATGTGTGTGGTACAGGGTCGCACTATGCAGCTGAGACTCCTAGTGATCCTGCTTTTTTCAACCTTCCCAGCACTGAGATTACAGGCCTGTGCCACTGTGCCCCGACTCAGTCCCTGGCTCAGCATACCACAGGGGTTGGGGAGGTGCGGCATGCAGGACAGGGATCGAACCCTGGTCCCTGCACATGCCAAAGCAGGCGCTTAGTCCACTGACCTATTTCACCAGCCTAAAGAAAACATTCAGATATCTTACTTTAATGAACACATATGTATTTGGTTTTTCGGTCAGAATGGCTAATCTTTTTTTTTTAATATTGACTAATCTTTTAAGAAAAAATAAAACTTAAAAAGTTGATGTACACAATTTGCTCAGTTGTACAAATACTGAACAATTTAAATTCCATATTTTCTTCTGTAAATCTGAAGTAAGAGAATTCCAGATGTTATTTATATTGCCATGAGAAGAAAGAAATTAAGTATCCTGCACTACCCGCAGATTGTTTTATAAAGCAATATTTAAAAATCACTCTTCTGATCCAACTCAGATAACTTGTTACTTTCTAATAAAAACATTTTTAAAGTTCAGTGAAAATGTTTCACAGTCTGTACTCAACACAATTACTGATTTAGTTATTGACTTCAATTTTCTTTTGATTCACATAGCAATTTTTAATCCTACAAGATTGCAATAAGCAAATGAAGAAATACAAAAGAATCTTTGGTGCCTTAAGGGAAATGACAAAATGAGACACACTTAGTGTGTAAGAATATTAACTGAACAGATGTAGGAAGACTCATAGGAAGGAATTTTCCCCACTGTTAAAATAGCAAGCTTATAATCAATAAGGTATAAAATAAAATGCATAGTATAATAATGAAATAGGACATTAACTTAGTAACACTGTAATGATAATTTTGATCAGGCAATCCACAATATATTGGCTATTTTAATAATGTTTAGAAGTTTTATAAATTTAATTTATATTACTAAAGGACAAAATAAGAGAGCTAGTTAGGGTAAAAGAGAGGAAAAAAGAGAGAACAAGAGAGTCAGAAAGGGAGAGACAGGAGAGAGAGAGAAAATCTAAACATTTTCTTTCTGTTTATCTCCCACAGTACAAGGCATGAATTATTTCCTTTGTTATTCTGATTAATGTCTGAACAGAAATACACATTTGGTATACTATTACTCTTCACTTTAATAACCTTTATAAAACTGAGTTACAGGACTTCCTGGAGATGCAAGCACGCATGGCATATGCTGGGTGAGTTCATAATTTAGTCAGTGCCTGCTGAGTGGATCAAAATTTGCAGCTTGCACACAAATTTCTTTATTTCCCCAAACATTCTTTCTGTGGCATCCACACTAACATACGAGAAGTATGACACTCATTTCCTGTAGGAAGGTTTGAATTTCCCATCATTTGTTCGATTAAATGCATTGAAGTACTTTAGAGTCTCTAAATCAGGCCGGCAGTGAAGAACAGTCACATGACAAGCAAATAAGTCCTGCTGGGAAGATGTTGCTTAAGTGATAAAGTGGGTTAGCTAACAAGCGAGCTACAAAATTAAATATTAGCTGAGGGAAGGTAGGCATCTGCGAGGTCCTGCCTACTGGGGACCGAAGCATATATAGCGTGCAAAATCCCTGAGTCTCAAGGCAAAGGGCGATTTCTTGGGAGCTCCAGCAATTGAAAACCATGAAACATCTATTATTGCTTCTACTGTGTGTTTTCTCAGTTAGGTCTCAAGCCACCGATGACTACGATGATGAGGTGACCTGAAAAATACTACTACTTTATTACTAATATTGTTACTATTAGATAGAATGGAACCATAATCTTATGAGAAGAGTTGTTTAAGTGAAGGTAGAATTTACTCAGATTATAAAGCTGGGCTGTTTATCTCCAGCATGTGTTTTGCTTAAGGAATACCATGTGGTGCTTCATTTCATGTGTAAAAGTGAAATGATTTCTTGTTTCCTGGTTTATTACCTTTATTTTCCCAGGTTGAAGATGACTTAGCTGACGTAATGTTTCATTTTTTGCTATTGTTAGTTTTCATCCTAAATACCATGATTTTTACTTAGTGATAGCAAAAAATTCTTTGCAGTTATACAAGTAAAATCCAAAAATATAAAAAGCTACAACATAGTAGCCTGCATTCTAAAGGAAGAAATTTAGGGCAGGCAGATGGTTCTTTGATGAAAGGGGCTAATATATAGCTGTTGATATTACTCACTGCTTACGATTAAGAATTATAATCTAAGTTTAATACCAAACTAAGTTAAGTGTAACAACAGAAAGTGAAATATTCTTTTATTTAAGTGAGAAAATTTAAATTAGAGATGGTACTTATTATTAATGCTTATAAAGCAACTCAGTCTATTTTCATTTGAGAACTGTTTTTTCTCAAACGTTATCTCTACCTTCTTTTTTTTTACTATTGCTTTGATCTTAATGAAAATATATAAATGCATTTAGGAAAAGGAATGTTTAAATACCTTTAACTTTATTTTTAAATGTATGATTCAGTTTCTTGTGCATAACGTATTATCGTCATATTAGAGGTAGGAATTTCAAGTAATACCTAACGGCAAGAATCATTTGGGGTAATTTGCTGATTTTGAGGGGAGAACCTACTTCTATTATCTGATTGCATATATAAAAAGGTAATCGTCTGATTAATGACATTACATGAAAAATGTAAAACACATGTAAGACTAAATTTTTATGATGTACTTTGCAAGGTAATTTCGCGTCTTTACTCACCAGTCCTCCTAGAATCAGTGCAATAGTTGCAGCTCCAAAATGGATTTTCTGAGTTTTACTTATCTTAATCAATTATCTTCATAAACCTAAATAGAGGACCCCTATAAATTCTTCAAATACTTTACATGTTCTTTTCTCTGGTAAACCGAGACCATCAGTGCTATATCGCTAATACTACTCTAAAACAAAGAGAAAATGTTTTTTTTCCTTATAATGTTATTTGACACATATAGTAGAATCATATTCCATAAAATCTGAGTATCTCTATTTCAGGCAATGTCTTATATTTGAAGCGTGTACTTCTTCCAAATCTTCATGCATTAATGTATGTGTGAGTGTGGGTGTGGGTGTGAGTGTGGGTGTGGGTGTGGGTGCGTGCATGTGTGTGTGCAGTTCAGTGGCCAGGCAGGGGCATCCAGAGCAAATTGGTTTGGCTTTCAGTCCTAGAACTACTCCAATAAATTTTAGTTGATACAATAATTGAGTGAATAAATGACAATAAAATTCCAAATACAATTTATTAGATGACTTTTAGACTTACTATTATGTGAGCAAGCTCAATTACTGCTGAAGTTTTGCTTATTAATTTGTAATTAAAGGTCCTACTGGTATGACTACTGAAAAAAATGTAATAAAATTTTTAGTCCAAATCAAAACTTTTATACTGCCTTGCATAGTTTCCACTTCATGACCTATTAATGTAATATTTTAAAGTTAGCAAATACTTTTATTTACAACATAAAAACATTAAGAATTATGTTACATATGACAAAATCATTTTATATCAGACAAAATCATTTACATATTTTATGTTTGACAAAAATTATGTAAGAAATTTCAAGAGAATGATTTAATCAATAATTTCATTGGTTGGATAGAAGAAGAAAAGTGGAGCTAACAGAAATTGCTCAAAAAGCAAAAGGGGGAGGGGGACAGAAGGAAGGGGAACAGGAAAAATGAGAAAAGAAGGGTAAAATGGAAACCAAACTTTGCAAATAAGCAGGCGAGGATGAGCTGAAGTGGGGGTAGGGGTCAATCAAGGTGCAGCATGTACAGGTGCAAGCTCCCGATGATTAATGACATTGCTGTATATACCTCCACTGCACCAATAAACCTAAATAACATTTTTGAAAGTGGCATTGATAATGGAGACGTCACTTAAACAATGGTATTGGTTATGTATGACTCCGATAGAAATCACGACCACTGACTACCTCAGGTGCTGCTACAAGGGTGTCCTATGGAAGTCACTTAGCTCTTGCAGGAGGTTCAGAAGCCAGATGCGAGCTATGACATCCTTATCCCAAAAGGGAACAGACAGCCTGCCCAAGGTCTCATGGCCTCTAAATGTGGGGCTCAAGCAGTCTCATTCCAGAGTATACTTCAAAGATTATCTTGTTTTCAACAAACTTCAAATAAAAATTTCAGTTTAAGGAAATCTTTATTATCTCTTAAACCTGACTATGTATGAGTTAGTCTAATTATCATTTCATAAAAATTGAAGGTAGGGAAACAATTAGTGACAGTTATAAGAATTTACAAATCCAAGAGGCTGGGGAATATACCTTCTTCTTGTCAGTACAGATTCCTGACAATTTTGCAGACGCCATTGCTTAAGTTACAAGAGTCTGAGGTCTTGTCTGCTTAAAATCTAGTGTTTGGGTTCAGGCCTCCTAACACTTCCTTATAGTCCTGGACTACATTGGGTTATTTTGCTGAATTCAAGTACCTACAATATCTGAACTGGCATCAAGTATAAAAAAGTCCTTTAAAGACTTCTCCAAATACAGCTTCTCTAACAGCAATGGAATACTCATCTCTGACAAAACAAAACAAAACAAAAAAGGGGGATATAAACAAAGGACCATTTTATAGTGAAAAAAATATATGCATATACAAAATAGCTAGGGTAGGTATACAGCGACTTTCTCTTAGTTCATTGAGAAGGAAGGTTTGTACTAGTATTGTTTAGACAAGATATCACGTCTGCATCTTGTCCTGTGAATAACTGCTATGAAGACAATAACTAGCAATGTATTATTATAACTGTCCTACTAACCTGTTTTGAAACTGTTCCATTGCTATTTTTTATTTTCTCATTAAAATGAATAAAAGAAACCATTTCCAAGGCACACTAACTTTATGTGCAGTTGCTGTCTCACCTGATACCGAAGGACACAGAAAGAGCTTTGCTAGGCAACATCAACAAACAGCCAGTGGGTGGACCTTGAGCATATGGTCGGCTTGCAACTACCTCAGCTATAAAACAAGGGCGCTGAAGTAATTGCACCCTATGTCTTCTACAGCACTCTGCATTTCTGTCTGGCTCCCTGTAGGTGCTCCCGGATGCCCGTGGTCATCGACCCCTTGACAAGAGGAGGGAAGAGGCTCCTAGCCTGAGACCTGCCCCACCTCCCATCAGTGGAGGTGGCTATCGGGCCCGCCCAGCCAAAGCACTTGCCAGCCAAAAGAAAGTGGAAAGAAAAGCCCCCGACGCAGGAGGCTGTCTTCACGCTGACCCAGACCTGGTAGGTGCCCTGGAGGGTTCTATGCTGAGAAAGCCTGATGTGCCACCAACCTGCATTACAGTTGGTGTTTGCTAAGCTTGGAATTAAAATTCCAGTAATGCAGGTAATGGAGCCTTGGCTTAGGCTTCTTTCTTGTGTTGTTTGCTCTGTGCTCTAGAGAATAAATTAGAACATATGGATATTGTCTTTGTTTTGTATTTTGCCTACACCTTTTGTAAGGTAGGCAAAATTTTTCATAGCCCGATTATATTTCATGGTTAGGATCACTCTTAATAGTTATCAGACATGAGGATAATCATGAAGTGTCTCTTTTTCCATAAGGAGAATCAAGTAATAAGTTTCTATATTGACTGATGAAAGCATTGTCTTGACTATGCACCATTTTAACAGATTTCCAGGACCAGGTCCCTCCTCTAACCCGTGCTGCCGCTTCACTTGCAGGGGGTGCTGTGTCCCACGGGATGTCAGCTGCAAGAGGCATTGCTAAGTCAGGAGAAACCCATCAAAAACAGTGTCGCTGAGCTGAACAACAATGTGGAGTCTGTGTCCCAGACCTCTTCTTCCAACTACCAGTATGTGACTCTGTTAAGAGACATGTGGCAAAAGCGGCAGGAACAACTGAAAAGTAAATGTCTTTGTGTTTTCCATTTGATTCTCAATAGTGACATCAGATCTATTTGCTGTGCAAAATGCGTGGTTATAAGAATTCCATTTCTAGGTTGACCTCAACTGCATTGACACTACTTTCTGAAAGTGCCCGGTTACTATGAGGTCCTTCCCTTGGCACCTTCACCTGAAGTTGGCCAGATAAACATGATTCCAGTATTACCCTATGAAAAATTTCACTCAGCTTCCTTCTTTTTTGCCCATATGAAATTTGTCTTGTGACTCAGAAGGCAGTTTTCACAAAGGACAAATTAAGCATTTATAGGTTTTGAATATATGAAAATAATCCACAGTATATAGAGCTGAGTTGTGAGTGATTCTGGCCTGTGAATCTTTAATCTTTAATCTAGGTGCTCGGGGTCATTGACGTGGCAATTAGGAGTCAGCTACTATGAGAGGCTTCACTGTGGATAACTTTCTATGTTTTCCAAAGGAATCGTGAAATCTCCCTTGTAAATTTCAAGTTCTGTATAAATCAGTGATGGCAAATGTATGGCTCTCATGCTGTAACAGGCTGTCTGTTATGACTGAAAGCTCTAAAAGTTTTGGCATCACTGAGCGAATCAGATATATCCACTCCATGTGATGTTGAGTGTGAGAGATGGCAATCTCATGTACTATTTTCTCTTCATCAAAGAAATAATCAGTTATATTTATGGTTGGATGTTGTCTTTAGATTTATAGTAAATTACTGGTGTGGTCATTGGGCTGTCTTAATTTCTGTATGCCATGGGTTAAATGATTTCTAAATACCATACTTCATAGTTGCTTGATTTATAGCTATGTCAAACTCAATGTCTATTCATATATTATTAGAAGATCAAATTCGCTATTATGTAGTTGAACACATTTAGTATTTCTGAGGTTCAAAATACTGACAATTTTTCCATAATTTCATTTTTCCAGATAATGAAAATGTTATAAATGAATATACCTCAGAACTAGAAAACCACAGAATATACATAGATGAGACTGTGAGCACTAACATTCCAGCTAATCTTCGTGTGCTCCGCTCAATCCTGGAAAACCTGAGAAGCAAAATACAGAAACTAGAATCTGACGTTGCAGCCCAAATGGAATACTGTGGCACGCCGTGCACCGTCAGCTGCAATATTCCTGTAGTGTCCGGCAAAGGTAACCAACCAACTATCGGCACTTCTGTAGGGATCCAGAAGAAAACACTCCCTAAAAACAGGAGGCTAAAAAATAAGTACAGGGGCTGGTGAGATGGCTCAGTGGTCTAAAGCACGTACTTAGAACAAGCTTAGCAAAGCACAGGGACCGTGGTTCAATCCCCCAGCACCACATGCCAGCCAGCCCCGACCCCTGGTGGGCTGAGCTGGACACACACACACACACACACACACACACACACACACACAAAATAAATAAATTTTCAAAAAAAAAAATAAGTAAGCAGGTTTTCCCAAAGAGCATAAGGTTGCAGCATGTTGCGAGGTTACTTGCAGAACGTTGTATTCGGCCTTGGGAAGATGCCTTTACCATGTGCGGCTCATCAGGACGGACAGTGTCGCTGGGGGAGTTTTCAGGGAGGGGTTGGTACATGTCAGAAGACTGAGGAGGAACAGATGGCAGGGCCACGGAAGGAGGTGGGGATCTCCCCACCCTCTTGCTTCTGTCTGTGAGCGTGCCAGGGAACAAGAAGATGGAAAGGGTTTCTTTCTTTCTTTCTTTCTTTCTTTCTTTCTTTCTTTCTTTCTTTCTTTTTTTTTTTCTGGGCAGATAGAATCCCTCAAAGTTCAGTTCAATTTTCAGTAAAAGGAAAGTCCAGTTTCTCTAATATTCTGAAATGTCCGTAATAAAACAGTCCTCCATAACTTGCATGAGCAGCTGCAAGAACCGGGGTTAACGGTCGAGTAATTAGGTTGCTGAGCACTGAACGTAGCACGTTGTCTTGTGCTTGCAGAATGCGAGGAAATCATTAGGAAAGGAGGAGAAACGTCCGAAATGTACCTCATTCAGCCAGACAGCTCCACCACACCGTACAGGGTGTACTGCGACATGACCACGGAGAGCGGAGGTAAGGGCCGGTGCGGCTCGCTCGTGTAGGCTTGGACGCCAGGAAACAAGGCCTTGCTCTGACACAGCCGGACATGCACTATTCAGTCTAGTATTTCGTGCTTAAAAATACCTACAACCCATGATGGGTGCAAGATAAAGCATTTATTATTTTCAAAGAGTTCAAAAGCATCACTGACCATTTCCTCTTTATGTCTATGTTGGAGGAAAGTATATGAGTAGAAATAAAACACATCGATGGGCAAGGCATTCAGATGTTCCCTTCAAAGTGATGTTACTTGTTATTGGTTAACTTCTGCTGCTTTTCTTTCTGTCAAACAAAGGGTGGACAGTAATTCAAAACCGTCAAGACGGTAGTGTTGACTTCGGCAGAAAGTGGGCCCTGTATAAACAAGGATTTGGAAATATTGCAACCAGCGCCGAAGGGAAGAAGTACTGTGGCCTCCCAGGTAAACACTGGAAGCATGAAGTGAAATCGCTGTGTTTAACATGGGACTTCTTTCTGTTCAAAAGAAAAAGCACAGTGTCAGGAGTCAGGTTTTAGGTTTTGAACAGTGAAGGGCAGTGGAAACATAAAGATGAGCAAGAAAGGAGGAGAGAAAAGCAGATTTGAGCTTATAAAGATTTGGCTTTGGGTAAGATTTTATTCTATTTTTCTTTCAGGTGAGTATTGGCTTGGAAATGATAAGATCAGCCAGCTTACCAGGATGGGGCCCACCGAGCTTTTAATTGAAATGGAAGACTGGAAAGGTGACAAAGTCAAGGCGCAATATGGAGGATTCACAGTGCAGAACGAGGCGAACAAGTACCAAATCTCACTGAGCAAATATCGAGGCACGGCTGGCAATGCTCTGATAGAGGGGGCTTCCCAGCTGTCGGGAGAAAACAGGACCATGACCATTCACAACGGCATGTTCTTCAGCACCTACGACAGAGACAACGACGGCTGGTACGTGCTTCCCTGCCCTTGGTTTAAGTCTCGCTGATGCGATTCCTCGGCACCATTCCTAAGAGCCAGTGCTGCTAACAGACTTCATTACTGGGTCACTGACTATCAGCAGTTGTACTCTATGCTTTATGTTTCACTTGAATACATTTTGACTATGTATAAGGTAGACATCACTGTTGTCATTTCTCAGGGGAGATTTAGACAGATTAACACATTATACACACAGTGAACACCCTCACCTCGAAAACTGTGGCATTGGAGGGAGGGTGGAATGAGTGCAGTGATGGAGAACGGTCAAAGTGTGTTCGGTGGATGTACAGATTGCCAAAATGAAACTCATTATTCCCGAGAGCTAGTAAGCACCAAAACAAAATGTGAGGGGAAAGAGATTGTGTCGTTTATCTAAATCACCTAATTTCAAAGAAGTAGAACTTGAATTATAGCAAGTCACTTTCTGAGTTATAACTACTTAGAAGCATAGCTATGCATCTACATGCTAACGTGCACATGAAAGCCTTCGCTGTGTTTTCCAAGGATCTGTAATACTAAAGCAAGCCTCCCTCCCCCTTTATTTGCTATTGGGCAGAGAAGGCCTTGGTGTAGCAGCAGCACTTCACATATGGCACCTAAGGGAAAGGGCACCACACCCAACTGAGGATGCCATTCCTCTGTGGGCACTACACGAAGAATTCATGTCACCACTGTCGTTCTGTTTCTAATACCCCCAAACATGTTTTCTTTCAGGGTGAATGCAGACCCCAAGAAGCAGTGCTCTAAAGAGGATGGTGGCGGATGGTGGTATAACCGGTGCCATGCAGCCAACCCCAATGGCAGATATTACTGGGGTGGACAGTACAGCTGGGACATGGCGAAGCACGGCACAGACGATGGCGTCGTGTGGATGAACTGGAAGGGGTCTTGGTACTCAATGAAAAAGATGTCGATGAAGATCAGACCCTTCTTTCCACAGCAATAGTTTTCCAAGTGTAGATTTTTGTTCTTCTGTATGTGACAACTTTTTTTTACATTATGTTAAGAGAATTATCTTTCATACAATATATCCCTCTAAAACTCCCAAACTACTTTAAGTTTGACTTTCTGGGGAAAAGGGGGGTAGGATAAATGACATTAAAAATGGCACACAATTTGCTTTTGTATTCTTCATTTATCTTACTTACCAAGAGGTCACTAAAGGCTGGAGATTTAGCTCAGTGGCATCAATACCTGCGTGGCAAGACAAAGTCCCAAGTACAATCCCCAGTAGAAAAGAAGCCACTGAAAGGACAATGGTAGCTGAAGTTAGCTGATTCCAGCTGACTGCAAGAATTTCACATTAGAACAGGGATAATATATCCTTGTAGAAAAATGTTGAGGCAAACTGAAATCTTTTGTTTAAAAGTATACTTTCAAACCCTATTTATTTATGTAAGATCTGTCATAGAAAACTTTCAAGCAGATGTATGAATTGATTAAAGTGTTCTCTGTTGGACTGAATTGTTTTCTCACTTTGTGATTCTATCAGCCAATGAGACAAGCTTTGATCTCATGGGACAGGAAAACGTTTGCAACTTTAAGCCACTAGGAATCTAGAACTGGATGTTTACAGTTAAAATTGAGGACCAGGATCAGAACTTCCAAGAGGGTGCTCAGGATCAAGTCTAGGCCACTCCTTTCTAAGGAAAATGGTGAATTGGAGGCACATTTGCATGTCACCATGGAAACCAGGGGTTTTCCCTCTTGCAGTCACACTAGAACTGCAGTAGGAGTGATCGCCTGCTCCTCCTATGTGCTCCTGTGAACTGGGTTAATCACCCCAACGTGCCTTCCTGGCAGCTCCAATGCTCCTCTGTCCTCGCGGAGCTATGTGTCCTGAAGCCATCCTCTTAGTCTCTGCAACTAGACAGAGGTGATTGGTTGCTCTCTTGAGACCGCTGCTGCTCTCATAATTCCTCATCAACTCCGATTTTTTAAATCAACTCCAAATTTTACCGGGTTTCCTTGTCACAAGTTCTGTCCCCAGTGGCCTGAGTTCCTGAGTTCCGTCTGTCATCTCTTATGTTGCCTGAGGGAAAAAAACAAAAAAGAAAGAAAAGAAAAGTAAAACAGAAACATCCAACCAAGTCACTTTCCTGCTAAATGTTAGTTCTTTGCTATTGATGTCCAAATTCCTTAAATCAAAGTTCCCAGGGTGGGGCTAAAGTGGGCTATGTACTCTTGGTTCCAGTACCATCTCTTGCCCCTTCACCATTTACTTGCACTGTCACAATGGGTTTCCTCCATTCCAGGACAGGTTAGATCTTTTTAAAAATTTCCAGCAGCTTTATTGTGGATTGGTTGATCTATAAAACGAGTCAAAAATGCAATTTGGTGCTCAGCACTGCCAGACAAAGAACTAAACCCACCACCCCTGTTTAACATTATAATTTGATGAGTTTGCACACATACCTGCACATGTGCGGCCACCACTGTGATCAAGGTGTTGAGCACATTCATAATCTCCAAAAGCTTTCTAGTGTCTCCTTGCTTTGTTTTGCTTGGCTGGCTTGTGGCAAGAACATCTGACATGAGATTAAGCCCTTCACAAATTTTTAGGTTCAGACTATTGCATTCTCCATGGGCACCATATTGCAAAGTTTCTAGATTCTACTCAAAACTGTAACTGTAGCTTTATACTCACTAAAAATTCCCTTTCCCCAGCCTGTTAGTAGGATACACCCTTCTTCAGTAATGAATTCTCATTCTGCTTTCAGTTTAGCACCACTAGCTTGTCAAATATCTCTTGGAAATTGCCACTCCTTTTCTTCCTATTCAATTAACTTGACTGTTTAGAAACCATGAAATATCCTTGCACGGTGTTGGTGAGAATGTAAAATAGCGAAGCCACAATGGAAAACAGTATATTGGTTCTGAAAAAAAAAATTTTAAATGGAATTCCCATGAGCAATCCCTCATCTGGGTCTAATCCTAAAAAACCCTGAAATTAGAGCCTCAAAAAGATATCTACTCTCCTGTGTTTATTGCACCTTTACTCACCATAGCCAGGCCCTCTGTGCAATGTTCGCACTGTGCACAGCGGTGCTCCCAACATTCCCAAGAAGCTGTTCATTTCCAACACTCCCTTTAACTCCCGGCACCCACAGAATTCTTTCTGAAATACTTAGGGAATTTGTGTCATTGGTCAGCAAATAACAACGGCCATCAATCTGTTACTAGGATACACCGTTCTTCACTAATGAATTCTCATTCTGCTTTCAGTTTAGCACCACTAGCTTGTCAAAAAGACTGATTTTCACAATTTATAAACATTGAATGGTTAAACCCATTATCAAAATTAGATTATCAAAAAGATTATCAAAATTTTGGTGTCCATGTTTTTATAGAGAACTCATCAAAAGTGGAAAATTTCCTGGGGCTGCTGGGCACTGGGGAGAGGCCATCATTAGACCCTTGCTCAGCCCTTCTTGCACACATACAAGACCTAATGAGTCCCTAGGCCTTGATGTAATGCCAGAGAGAAGAGCCACCAAAGTCACCAACGTTAGGGTCAGTTGGTAGTTAATGTGAAGAGAGCAGAAACAGTCCCCCTGGGTCACAGGAAACGTTGAAGTGAAGCCCCTTGAAGCATCATTTCACAGAAATGCTACACTTTCGATTTTGCCCATTCAGCCAGCACAATTTTTTTTTTAATTAATTTATTTATTTTGTGTGTGTGTGTGTGTGTGTGTGTGTGTGTGTGGCCAGCTCAGCCCACCAGGGGGCGGGACTGGCTGGCATGTGGTGCTGGGGAATTGAACCGCGGTCCCTGTGCTTTGCCAAGCTTGTTCCAAGTAGGTGTTTTAGACCACTGAGCCGTCTCACCAGTCCCAACCAGCACAATTTTGAACAGAGTAAGATTGATCCAGTTAGAATATAGAAAACAGCCTGTAAAAATTTATTCAACCATTTCTTCATGAAGATAATGTAAAAATTAGTTGAAAGCTAATTAATTGGTTAAATCCATCATATGACATGAGATCATAATATATCTTATTATATGAATAAAACTGAAAGCAGCAGTGAACTATAAAGATTTTGTGCTTGGGGCATAAACTTCTAGTTCCTCTGCATTTAGGAACCAAGAGAAACAGCTAAGCATAGTGCATAAGAGATCGTTGTTCTGAGCTGATTACGGAGCGCCCACGTGAAGCAAAGGCCTAAGGCCTGACTCCAGTGAATCAGATGATCTTTGCACTTAATCATTACAAACTCAGCATCTTGTACACTGTTTTTTTTTTTTAATATAAATTTCCCGGTGCTGATCTAGGTTTATTACATCAGAGTTTGTTTCACATGGAAATAGCCAAACAATTTCTGTTTTTCAATCAATGTCCCAAGAGTTTCTGGTCCCTGGCTGGATCTGGGAATTGCAGATACAGGCTACCTTTGTATTTAACTGAGGCTTCTGCTATTTTCCTTACCTAGCTCTTTTTTATTCAAATGGCAACCATGATGGATTTTAAGCAGTCATTCTCAAAGTCGCCAATACTGTTCTCATCGGTGACCATTGCCTACATACAAAGCGGGACTTGGAGTTAACATGTCTCCAAAGGTCAAAACATTGTCCCCGCTCCACTGCGCTCACTGTCAGATGACTGTTCAGGCATAACTTCAGATTTTTTTAATGTGTAGCATCACCTTTACATACAGCTGAATCTGCCAGCTGCAGCAACCTCACCTTTTATCTACCTCTCTTAACCAAGATGTGGCAAGAACATAACCTTTTTTGTTGACTGAATTATAGTTCTTACTTCTCCTAACATTTTATTTTGAAAATGCCCTCTCCTAGGAGACATTTCACGGTAGTTTAATGAATATCCTTCTGTCCTTCACCCAGCGCAGCCAACTGTTTGCTGTGTTGTGCCTTATCTCTCCAAGGAAGGCATTTCAGGGAAGTTTTGCAACAGTTTAGGTGGGCGCGCAACCTAGAGGTCATAGCCCTGTTGGGGATCAGAGAGGCAAAGGTGAGCTTAGCAAATATTTTCCAGAGTCCTCTGTGGCAATCCATAGCTTACTTCGGCAATAAGCGGATGGCCAGGCAGCCACCAACTCAGGGACCCAGCTTTTCCCAGATCAGCGCTGGGACAGCTCATCTGGTTCTTGGGTTCTGTTTGTGAAGTGGTGCTTTAACCTCCTGGAAGTGGAAGACAGACTGTCCAGACGTTGCCCAAGAATTAACTGGAATCTCTTCCACTGGTGATTCTACTCCTTTTTAGAACTTGGAAGGGCTTCCTGCACTCATCCTCAACCAATTATGGATTTTTCTCCATAAATAAAGCTTATAAATTGAAAATAGAGTATCTCAGAACTGGTTCCTCTGTATAGTTCCTCAGCATAGAAATCAAACACATACACAAAACCAGAGTGAAGTCATTCTCTATATAAAAATTATGTAGGCATTCATAAATACAGGCAGAGATGTACACACCTCAATATCATAACTTTTACATTTAAGAATAAATGTAAAAATAAATTCTTGCTGGGGAGATAGCTCAGTAGAATAAGTGCTTGCCCGGCAAGTGCAAGGGCCTGAGTTCAATCCCTGGTTCTGCCCCAAAAGTAAATAAATAAATAAATAAATAAATAAGTCACAGTAAAATTTTTTGTAAAAAGGAATAAATATTCTTTTCTTGACAATGGAATATTTACAAAAATACATCCACAAAGAAAATATAAAATTAATAAAATATTTAAAAGGGAATAATTATGTATGTAGTTACAGGGTTTGCAAGGTCTACAGGGTCTTACTACGGAGATCAGACTCGTAGTGATTTTCCTGTTTTCAGCCTCCCAAGCACTGGGATTACAGATGTGAGCCACCACACCCAGTCTCAATCCCCACCTCAGTGAGCCCCGGATCAAACCCCCAGCAGCTGTGTTCTGCCTAAGCTGGTGCTTTAATCCGCTGAGCCGTCTGACTGGGCCTGAATAATTTTTAAATAATATAATTCATAAAAGTTTTGACAATACCTCCTTTGAGATGACTTACTCTAATTCCCTGAAAAGATAACAAATTATAAATTAAGAAAGCCTTGTCCATGTAGACCCTGGGGGAAAAATTGAAAATGAAAATTATAGCTTTTCTAGACTAAAAATCAAAACAAAAAAATCTAGAGGATAAAAGGGGAAAAAAAATCACCAAAAAGCTACGCTTTAAAAAGAGTGAAGACGAAGTTTCATAGAAGACACTATCCATCTAGAGTCCCATAGAAAAGTTTGTACATTGAAATTGAAATGTCAGGACCTGGGAGATAGCTCCGCCTGGCAAGAGGCTGCCTGGCAAGCACAAGGACTCGGGCTCGGTGTCTGGTACCACACGCCAGGCCAGGCCCGTGCTGTGCCTGCCTCGGAGACTGGATGTGGTGGCACTGCCTGAGATCCCAGCATGGGGCGGGGGTTAGACAGGAGCATCTAAAACTGCCTGAAACCCTGTACCAGACAGATACACACATAAAAGGCTTTTTAAAAATAAACAAAATACATACAATTGGAATTTCAATTCAATAGGCAACAAATGCTTTACTGTTATTCTAATAAGTGACTCCGAGATAATGAGCAACAACAACAAAATCCCAAAGTAGACTTTCTTCATAACATATTAAAATAAATTCTATATTAAATATATAAATGTAAATGAAAAATATGTTTTAAATCATTTAAAATGTGTCTATATAATCTTAAAGTGGGGAGAGACTCTTATGTAACACTGGCTATTTTACATAAAGGAGCTCTGACTTAAAGGAATTCACAGTATGACACCACAAATAACATAAAAGGGTTAGTTCCGAGGTACAGATGGAGGTAAGGAGGCCTCCAGGAGCAACTCAGGTCTTCCTGCGGCAGATGTGAGCGAAGGGCTCCCAGAAGCAGTGTTACCTGAGCTGTTCTTAAAGGGATGGAGCAGCCCCTTCCTGTCAATATATAGCAAGGTGTAGCGAAAAAGGCAATGTAATTGAAGTATAATTGAATGATTGTAGAGGCTGAAAATGGGCCAGTCTGTCAAAGAGTTCATCTGCTGAGCTGAGAACTGTGAGCTGTACTATCTTTCACCTGCTTGCCTACTGAAGATATGAGATGGTCACGTCAACCCAAGAGAGAGGGGACTCACCTGTAGGGTGAAGTAACGTGGTATGGCCAAGAGTAGTAATTGGGGACCTCAATGACTTCTTCCCTTAAAAACAAAATTTTAGGGCCAGGGAGATGGCTCAGTGGAATATGCGCTTCTCTGGCAAGCGCAAGGGCCTGAGTTCAGTCCCCGGTTCCACACACACAAAAAAAAAAAAAAACCAAAAAAACAGAATTTTAATCATAGTCTTGCACCAAGCCTAAAGCAGACATGTCCCAGCCACTCTTGCAGTTATATCCACCCACGTGATCAAGGTGGTGAATAAGTTTTTGGCAGACGTGCTACATGGAACAGCCCAGAATATCCCAGAAAACAAAGAGAAGATTTTTATTCATTCTCCAGGCAGTCAGAGGATGTGATATTTGGACAGTGAGAACATCCCAGAGTATGGAAGCCATCACAATGAGGTTGGTGGCTTCCTGGAGATAGAGAGGATGTATTTTGTGAGGAAGACATCAGTTTCTGTCTTGTTGAAGCTATGTGTGCCCACCCTAGTCTCCCTTGTTAAAGATAAGTGCTTATGCCACTGTCATGATAAATGCTTGCTTTAAGGAGCTGTTTCAGAAAAAATCATGACTTAAAAAGCTGAGACAGGATTATAGTCCAGCAGAAATTAAGAGACTAAAACAAATTTAAGAGGTAAATGGGGGACAGAATAGTAGCAGATGCTGAAAACAGTAGTGCAGGAAAAGCCTTGAAAGTAGACCATTAAATTTTGTAACAAAATCATTGTTGATGTAAGGAAAGGAATTGTAAGGGAGGGATAACCTTACCAAAGCCACGTGAAAGCCAGTTTCCCAGAAAGGAGAGACAATGAGGCAAATTAATAATTAATTTCAGGCAAATGAAAATAAAACAACAGAATAAAGACCAGGTAAGGTGGAAAAGAGATTTTTGGTGCCTTTTCTCACAAATAAACTATCTCTCACCATCATGACCCAGCTAATGTTGGCTATTGTTTATTAAACTGAAAGCTTACTTAATCCTTTGATAATAAACACAAAATCTTCAAAATATTTGGAACAATCACCTCCACCCATTTGTAATTGGGCTCATCCTGTGGTGCTGCCCAGGATGTCATTCTGAAAAGCAACTATTTTCTCAAATTCCCCATAGCATATGTGTGAGCATAATTGGGTCAGGACAGAGAGGACCCAAATCACGATGTTAAGAGAAATAAGGCTTCTTTAAATTTTCAAGAGACTCTTATCCTATTGTCCAAAGATTTGGAGATATTACATCTCTATCAACAGTTTTCAAGTCCAGCTAAGGAACTGGGAAATACTTCCTGTAGGATCCTAGCAAGCTCATCTCCCCTCTGTCCTTAGCCTAGCCCTTGCTCTAACCCACTTCCCTGCCTCCACTCCTGCCTCCCTTCTGCCCTTCCCTCTTTCTATCCCTCTTTCTTCCACCTTTTCTCACTTCCCTGCTTTTCTTCCTTCCTTCTTTTTTCCTTCCTTCCTTCTTCCTTTCCTTCTTTCCTTCTTTCTTTCTTGGGAGAAAGCAATATGAAACAGGGTTCTGTGTAGATTACCTGAGATATTTTAATACCATAGAGTGCCAATGGCAAGTAATTGTTGCTAAAAGCAATATGGATGAAGTATTGGGGGCAGGAGCAAAGGCCAGCAAGGCTACACATACGACTTGGACCCAATAAAATAATGACCAATGTAAGCATGCTGAATTTATGAAAATGGTATAGATCCTATTTAGTGAGGTGCCTTCAAACTATGATCTATTTTTAATAACAATAAATGTGTCATAGAATATAGATTGTGGCTGGGAAGAAAAGGAGGTCAAATCAATGCTAGGACGGTTGTCAGCAGAAGCTCAATCTGTTTCTGGAACATTTGCAAGTTTTTGAAGATTTTAAATGTTTATGTGCTGAAATAAAAACTGAGTTTGCATTATATTCTCTACTGGAAAACTTGAACAACATATCTCTATTTTGCTCAAGGAGAATGCTTGTCCTGCCTTCCTGGATTTGCTCACTAACAGGAGGGATGAAAAGACTATAAATTATGAATTCCTCTGCACAGGCCAGTCACTGTTCAGCCCAATGAGTTTTAACATAAAATGTAGATTTAAGAATATGTAAAACAAGCTTTTGTTTGTAATAGGTCTATGACATTGGTGACATTGGATGCTGTGGGAAGAGAAGTTTCAAAAGGCCACCCTGCGGGGCAGCAGGCAGAAGCTCCTCTAATCTGATACCTTCCTGCTGACGTAATGTATGTCTTCGCTATGTGTTTATAAAAAATTTAAAGCCCACAGAGCTATTTAAAGGTACAAAATGCTTGTGTACTTTATTTTTCAAAGCACTGATATATCTCAGTTTCATTTAGCTACAGTACAAAGAATAATAAAATAGCACCTGGAAAACTTTCAGTAGGTTGTCAAGACTCTTGACTCCTTGTATCATCATTTTCTCTCCATTTTGCTGAAGGATAGACACTGAATCTCCCCCTGCCACCGCATCACCCCTTAGGTTGCCACTGGCCTTATTTTCATGCGAACAACTCTGAGGGAATAGTCTGCTCCTTTAAAGGGACTCCAGACAACCCCATTCTCGATCTCATAGGGGCTGTTGTCCCTGGGGTCATAGGTGCCTCCAGGGTAGTAGATGCCATTGAGATTGGCTGCCTGGCAATTGTTGTACCACCAGCCTCCTCCATAGATTTCAGCACAGTTCTCTTCCCACTGGTCTGCATCCTTGTCAAAGGTACTGAACTGCATGCCATTGTGAGACGTGTACTCTGCCCCTTCTTCTGCAGAACCCTCAATCAGGGCATCGCCAGCAGTGCCCTGGTAGGAGGAGACCTCCAGGGCGTAGCCTTCCGCCTCAGAGCCCACCCGCAAGCGATACTCTGCAAACGCCCCCTTCCCGGCCCAGTCCTCTAACTCAACCCTGAGCACCGAGCCCTGCCGAGTGAGTAAGTGGAGACGGTCATTGCCTAGCCAGAACTCTCCTTCTCCTCTGCCATTCAGGTTGCCGAAACCTCTCTTGTAGTCTTGCCAGGTCCGGTTAAAATTCAGTGAGCCATCCACTCTCTGCTGGATCAAAAGCCATCCTCCCAAAGCGGTCTCTTGATCGCAATAAACAGAAAAAATCTTACTGGATCCTGGAGGCTTGATACTGAAAATGCCACTCTGGGCACCTGATGGATGTGTTTGGAGAACATCACCACAGTCTAAAAGAAAAATTAAGCTGGTTGGAAGAAGTTACTCTCATTTAGCTTTACAAACACAGGCAGATCTAGAAAGGCAAATACTGCCTTCCTACCTCCCTCCCTCCCTTCCTTTCATCCTTCCTTCCCTCCTTCCTTCCTTCCTTCCTTCCTTCCTTCCTTCCTTCCTTC